CTGGCATACTAGATCATATGGTTATCTGATTCACAATGGCCAAAACCACTCCATTCCAATAGCTGTTTGCAGCTGTTTCTTCTCAATTTGAGTCGTGCCACATCAGCAAATGGAGGTCTCAAAAGCTTTACTTTATCCGTATCACTAAGGTTGGTTCTACTCTGATGATGGAGTTGCTTTCCAGTCCTATTTTGAGAGCCTTCTGACCTAAGGGGGTCATCCTCCTGCACTGTATCAGATAATGTTTCCAGGCTATTCATAAAGTTGTGCCATAATACATCAGACAGTGTTTCTCTGCTATTCGTAAGGTTTTCCTTGGCCAATTCGTTGAGAAGTGGATGCCCTCTTCCTTCTTCCTAGTCTGTAAGCTGCACTGAAACTTGTACACCACGTACATCTCTGCTAGCACTTAAAATACCAGTGGCACACCTCAAGCCTCACAGCAACACACAAGCCACCACAGTCTGACAAACTGATAGACAAGCTTGTCTCCCTTAGCTGTTCGAAACCTCTCTGCCCTCCCCTTACCTGTTGTACCCTCTGGCTTCACTTTCCTGCCTGGTGGGGGTGGGGTCTGGGTCCCTCCCCTTCCCTGGATCCCTGGCTTCCCTCCCTGCAAGAGAAACTTACAAAACCCTCACAAAAGCATTGTTCCAGGCTGTTCCTAAGACACTTCATCTGAAAGCAATGATGGTCCTTAACCATCTATCAGGAATGGGCAGACTCAGAAAACAGTGCTCAATTAGGGATTTGCTGGTCTCATAAGCCAGTGCCATCACCCCAACTTATGTATGGAGTCCAACAGGGAGCCCAGGCCTGCAGATATAGCCGCAGCAGCCAAGTCTTTGTGGAGGCACGGCATTTTAAATGACCTTGGCTACACTTCCGTGGCTAGTCAGCCTGCAAGACATAGGCTACCTCCCAGCTAAGAGAACAGAGTGAAGCCCAGCCCTCTTAGGTCACACCAGTTCAGGGTCAGCAGTCTGCAAGCACCAACAGCAATGGCCGCTGTGACCGCCCCTCAACATCTGGGGCTAGCACCTGGCACCCTGTCCCCTTCCCAAGCCCTGCCCCCACCACCTCCCCCAACTCCAGCTGCTGGACACAAGTCACTAGTAGTTTTTCTCGTCACTCCCTCTAGCTGTGGTTCCCAACCCCAGCTGTCACATACCAGTGGCACAGCCTTGCTGTCACCATGCCAGCTGGACCAGAGCCCTCCAGCACCACTGCTCGCTGCTGCCTGCTAGGGTCAGGCTGCGCCACGCTGCCCGCGCCCACGTGGCCACGCCAGCCCAGGAGCTAGCTGGCATTGGGAGGCGCTCTGAGATGCTGATAGCAGAGTTCCCGTGTCCCCCAGGTCTCACAGCCATCCCCGTGTTTGATTTGCAGCACCTGCCCTGTATCACAGCCTGTGTCTGCTGAGGGCACACGCCAGGCACTGCTCACCTACTCCCTCCTCGGCAATCCTATCCGGTCCTCGCACTGTCCAAAGATGATGACATTTAGGAAAGCTGAGGGCCAGTGAGGACAGGAGGCCCTCAGTGGGAAGAAGCGGGCAGAGTAGCCACAAGGATGGCCTCAGACGTGCTGATAACGATGACACACGACACGAGGTCACCTTAAGTCAACGTCAGCAAGCGGCATGCATCCATCCGTCCGTCACCACTGACCACAAAGACCACGCCCTGCTCTTTTTCCTAAAGGAAGATGCATGGTGTGCGGGCCGAGCTTCAGTGACTGAATCGACATGTCACCCACATAAAACATTACAAGTGTGAGCCAGAAAATGTGATCCCCATGTGTGGCTTTATTTCAACATTGTACAGATTCATATATTATTTTTTATTATATATAATGAGCAATTTTTAGCATAAAGTAAAAACTTTCACAGTTAAGGTTAAAAAAAAAAAAAAAAGAGATGTTTTAGAAAACGTTGACATTTTCATAGAGCCAAGAAAGTGGAACATATTGTGCGGCCTAAACTCTCTGTCAATGTTCGCATCTCAAATTTGTTGAGAAGATTGAAAACCTGATGAAAAGAACTTACAGGTGGCTCTTGCAGTCCATCAGTGCCACAAAACTGTCAACTCACAGCCTCTAACAGTTTAATCCCACGCCTCTCTCTAGTACCCACGTGGCCTTCAACTGTTACGGCAGTGGTTTCCAGAGTGATTACAAAGCCAAGAGAAGCAAACTTCACCAAAAACAGAACAGCAACTTCCCAATGTTCTTTTCCACAGGTTTCCTTCTGGTTTTCAACTCAGGAGAGAAGAACAGCATTTAATCACTGCATCCCTATAGAAAAAAAGGAAAAATCTGAGCATTAGTCTCCCTCAAGGGCAAACGTGCAGCCAATGTTTCTGTCACAGGCAGACACAGGCCGTCATTGTCCACAGAGCCAACCTGGTAGGCTCTAACACATGATCCTATGACAGACTTACACACACACACACACACACACACACACAGCATCACCTTCCACACAGCTAACCCTGTGGGCTCGGTCACAAGATTCTATGACAGACACACATGTCATCACCTTCCGTACAGCCAACTCTGTGGGTTCTGCCACACGATCTGTAAGGAACTAACACAGTGTTGGATGTACCTGAAACCAAGAATGGAGCTCTGGAAACAAGGTGCTAAAATGGTATTTATTTTAGAGAATCTTTATAAGGTAAACTTAGTTAAGAATAAATAAATAAATTTAAATATTTCCCTCAAAAAAAAAAACAAAAAACAAAAAACAAAAGAATGAATTTTAAAAAAAGTATTAACGAACTAGATCTCTCAAGTAACGTGTTTGTAAATGCATCCTAAGAATTCCAAAACCATCAATGGGATAACCCTCACCACCTTTCACATTTCCACACCGACTCTCTCAGCTGTTAGTATTTTATCCACTGAATTACTTTCCACCTGGTGAGCTCTCAGAGTGTGGGCACATGGCACACTGCTTGGGGGACCAGGCCAGGCGCCAGGCTCCAACTACAGGAGTGGGCAACGGCTCTCGGAGACCCTCCCCCTTGCTGGGAAGCATCAGGGGGCGTCCCCGAGGTGGTCGGTGTGCTCTGCCCCATCCTCCTCCAGTGTTCTCACCTGCCGGAGCCTGCCTGCCTTCTCCCCTTTAAGTTTACTTCACAAAGTATCACCATTTGAGCTTGAACAAGGGCAGCCTTCCCACCAATCCCTTCACGGCGCACGTTGTTGTATGCCATCCAGTGGATTCCAACTCAGTGACCGTAGGGACAGAGTGGCGCTGACCCCAGGGCTTGCTAGGCTGTCATCTTTACAGGAGCACACCACCGCGTCTTTTCTCCCACGGAGCCACTGGGGCGGTTCAAACTGCCGACCTATCAGTTAGCAGCCGAGCGCTTAGCCATTGTGCCACCAGCGCTCCCCTTGTTCCTGTCAGGCATACAGCTGTGCTGTTTTTCATAGACAACATATATGAGAGGGCATGCTTTCCCAGGATATCTCTGTCTGTCCGACTCCAGACAGCAATTAGTCCTGTGCTTTTCATTCATAATCAGTGTATTTCTGTAAGAAAATGGCTGTTCTCTCAATGTACAGAATCAACAGCTCTCTCCTGACTAAAGTCACAACACGTGCACACAGGACCTCCCTTCCCACCAACTTCCTTGTTTCTGAAGTGGAACCTGCGTCTCTCCATCTTACCAGCTGAGGGTCTGTGGCAACCAACGGCTTGGAATCCAGCCAAAGTCCTGCCAACGCCCCAACGGTAAATCCGAGCAGCAAGTGACAACCCACCAGCTCCTCGAGTTCAAGACACTTACAGCTAAATACTTCAAGCCACAGCAAACGTCTACTCATCTCGCTCAGTGAATAACTGCCTTCCTTCCGGGGAGAAAAAGTCACCAAAACACCCTTCTTGAGGAAAGCCTAATGCGAAAATTATTGTAATTCACGTAGTTGTGCAAAAGATAATTAAAGGAACAGACAAAATGAGAGTGCAGCGAGCTCACCTTGCGTACGGGATGTAGGACAAACTGTACCTGGAAGGAGAGAGCACACACTGTGACACCCCATCCGCACCCAGGTTTCCTTCCTGCCCGACGGCCAGTTGATCCTGGCCTGGCAGTCGGATTCCACCGTCCTGACAGCAGCGGCATGACACCGGACACGGGTCCCCAAGTGCACCCCAGACCGGCCAGCATGGCCTTACCCAGGAACTTGTTACAAACTCAGCCCCCTACACCAGACACCCTGTTTGCACAAAGTCTCGGGGTGGCTGTGGTGTGCACTAAGGTTGATCCATTACGATAGAAAGGTTCCTCACTGGAGCTGGAACAGCGGCCTCCTCCAGGAGAACGGAGTATGACTGCGTACCACACAGCGACATCAGAGGCAGTGATCGCTGCGGCGGGTGGGGCTCCTCCCCACGTCCACGGCCAGAGCAGACAGCGGCAGCGTGGGTGGTGGGGGCCACGCCACCCACACTGAGCAGTCACCAACACTCCAGTGCAGGGGCGGAAAGAGCCAGGAAGGACCGAGCCAAGACCAGAACGTCAGCAGGACAGACTTAGTGTGGGCGGAACCAGGACAGCGTTTACTGCCCGCAGGGAGGAGAGCGCCAGGCCAAAGCCCTCAGGAAAACAGAACACCCCACTACGGACTGAAGTATGTCCCCTAACTGCGCTGTTGTTATGACCCACGTGGGAAGGGGCTGTCTTCGCTGGGTCAGTGAGGCAGGTCGGCGTAGGGCGCATCTCAGTCCAGCAAGGCAGCAGAGATGAGGGCAGACAGAAGCCACACGAAGATAGAAGACTGCCACGGAGCCAAGGAGCAAGGGCCTTCCCAGAAAGCGACAGAGCGAGAAAGCCCTCCCCAGGAGCTGGCACGTGAACTCGGACACCTGGCCTCCTCAGCTGCGAGAGGACATGTTTCTGATCCTTAAAACCAGACACCCGTGGTGCTTCTGTGACAGCAACGCTGAAGAACTGAGACACCCTCTTACTTAACATGTGGGAACCTCCACGTGGAAACCTAAGATGGACGCGTGCAAGTGAGCACACGTCCCAGGCCATCCATCAATCTGTGCCGAGGGAGGCTGCTGCCGCTGACCCGGGCTCCGCTCGGGACACCAGGTGTCACAAAAGAGCAAGCGTGAGCGTGGCCTGACGGGAGGATGCAGGGAAGATGGGGAGGGGATACAGGCAGAGGGCCAGCCACAAAGCAGAAACTAGTCTCTCGTCGCTGATGGCTCAGACATGCCTCCAGGTACCACAGGGAGGGCCAGAGTCAACATGGTCATGGACTCGTGCTGCAGGAATGGTGAGGGAACCCGTGACCCTGCTGTGAGAGGGCATCGGCCGCGCTTCTCACCCCCATGTTAGCATGAGGAAGAACGGGGTGCACCGCTGAGTAATCCTGCAAGAAGAGTGCCCCCTCCCCGGGCTGCCCTCTGCAAGTGAACTCCAAGTCCTCCCACCACCTCCCCTCTCTCCAGAGGACCCAGTCTGGCAGTTTCCCCAAAGACGGTTGGCACCCACCCACTCCCCATCCCTCACTGTAGATACCCCTGGCCCTGACGCCAGCATGGCAGCTCCATCCCAGGGGATTCTACCTTTGCTCAGGGGAAGGGAAGACTTACCAGGTCATAGACAGGAACTGCAGGATGCAGAACAGTAAGGCCAGCCCTTTCTTATGCCACTGCCAACAGAAACAGGACAGTGAGTTTAGCACTGAAACAGCAGGGGTCAGGATCAGGTTCAATTCCTGTCCTTCAAAAATGCGAACGCTCACTCCACTTATTAAATTAACATAAGAAACTTAAGAAGTGGATGATCTATGATTTCAACACCCACAAAGTGCATCAAGTTCCCTGGACTACTGAGAAGTACATACAGTATTACAGAAGTGCTGTGAGACTAACTGCTTGGACCAAGAGCACTAACATACTATCGGCCTCTGAGGTCAACACCAACGTCACTAGACCGAGGGCACCAATACACCACCAGCCTCTGAGGTCAACGGCCAATGCCACTAGGCTGAGAGTACCAACACGTCACTGGCCTCTGAGGTGAATGCCAACATCACTAGACCAAGAGTACTAACAGGCCACTGGCCTCTGAGGTCAACACCAACGTCACTAGGCCGAGACTACTAACATGCTACCGGCCTCTAAGGTCAACGTCAACATCTCTAGACCGAGAGTACTAACATGCTACCAGTCTCTGAGGTCAACGCCAACTTCTTTAGACTGAAACTACTAACATGCTACCGGTCTTTGAGGTCAACGCCAACTTCTTTAGACCAAAACTACTAACACGTCACCAGCCTCTGAGGTCAATGCCAACACTGCTAGACTGAGAGTACTAACACGCCACTGGTCTCTGAGCTCAATGCCAATGTCGCTGGACTGAAATACTAACATGCTACCAGTCTCTGAGGTCAATGCCAATGTTGCTAGACTGAAACACTAAGCCCCTACCAGTCTCTGAGGTCAACGCCAACGTCTCTTGACCGAGAGCACCAACACGCCACCGGCCTCTGAGGTCAATGCCAACGTCGCTAGACCTGGAGCATTAACACGCCACTGGCCTCTGACGTCGATGTCAACGTCGCTAGACCTACAGCACCAACACGCCACTGGCCTCTGAGGTCAACCCTAACATCGCTAGGCCAAGAGCAGCGACACACCAGCAGCCTCTGACGTCAACGCCAATGTTGCTAGACTGAAATACTAACATGATACCAGTCTCTGACGTCAATGCCAACTTCTTTAGACTGAAACTATTAAAACGCTACTGGTCTCTGAGGTCAACACCAATGTTGCTAGACTGAAATACTAATCCCCTACCAGTCTCTGAGGTCAACGTCAATGTCCCTAGACTGAGACTAGTAACACACTACTGGCCTGTGAGGTCAATGACAACTTCTTTAGACCAAAACTACTAACACGCTACCGGTCTCTGAGGCCAATGTCAACATTACTGGATTTAAACACTAACCCTCCACTGGTCTCTGAAGTCAATGTCGACATCTCTAGATTTAAAAAGTCCATAAGACATAAAGTCACCTTACTTAGATCTATAATCTCATGGGGAATTTATACACTTCCCTCATTTCAACTTGTTCCCCGCCCCGTGTTGTGTTTGGAGGAAAGAGAATTTTACTGTGACCTTCCGGAATAACACAAACATCCTCACAGCTGTTTCGAAATTACCAACTCTGATAATTTCGTGTCCGTCTTTATTTTTATTTACATAATTATTTGTTTTTACTCGATTGCTTATACATAAACAGGTTGCTATATCAACATCCCACAGAGATGTGTAAAATAGTTTAAGAACATAATTTGAAGTTGTCATTGGGAAACGATGGTAAGTGAATTCTTATAACTGAAGTTCAGTCCTTATGTCGCTAAAATTAAAAGGACAATCAGAATACTGTGTGATAGAGTATTTCTGAAACGTATCACACATTATCCTTTCTTCCTTAAAACGTGTAGTTTCTTGGTAGCTCAAGAATGGACTTACGCCCTTTCGGGAAGTAGGTACAAGAAAGAAATAAAATGAAGAAGCCAAAACATAAGTAAACTGAGCTGCAATGATGTAACTTCTATGAGGAATGTGAAGGGTGCTCACATACTGTAAGTGGTACAAGACTGATTTCAGTTCTTTTGTCTCTTTTTTTAAAACAGGAGCCCTAGTGGTGCAATAGTTAAAGTGCTCTGCTGTTAACCACAAGATCAGCAGTTTGAAGCCACCAGCTCTGTGGGAAGATAATGAAGCAGTTGGCTTCCATAAAGACTGAGAGCCTGGGAAACCCACTCTGTCCTCTAGGGGCGCTGTGGGTCAGAATGGACTCCACTGCAGTGGGTGTGGTCTGGGCTTTGCTTCCTTAAAAACTGACTGCCTTGGAGACCCTGTGGGCAGTTCCACTCTGTCCTCTAGGGGCGCTGTGGGTCAGAATGGACTCCAGGGCAGTGGGTGTGGTTTGGGCTTTGCTTCCGTGAAGACTGACAGCCTTGGAGACCCTGTGGGCAGTTCCACTCTGTCCTCTAGGGGCGCTGTGGGTTGGAATCGACTCCACGGCAGTGGGTTGGGTTTTTGATGTGTGTGTCTCTCTCTGTTAATTTGTTCTGTTTTCTGGCTCGTTCTCCTTATTTAACATCTTGCTACTCATCACTGTACTGGCCCCAGCAGCTGTGCCCTCCTTGGCCTACAGAATGACGGCACAACCACACTGACAGTACACATGGAGAACACAGATCTAAGCAAGAACCTCTCCTAAGAAAGAGTGTTGTTCGAGTGTCACGCTAACCTAAAGTAAGTGTATGTGTGGATCAGTGTACCTCTGCCCAGGCTTCAGAGAGCAGGATGTGTCACAGGTCTGGCCATTAACTGGATGTCACCATAGCAAATAGATGACCATGTGATGACCTTTTACCCCAAAGAGCTAAGCCTGGTCAAGGGATACAGTCAGAAGAAAGCCAACATGATTAATGTAACTTACCCAAAATACAGCACACAGGGTAAATAAGAAACACAACTAGGTGGAAGAAAAAAATATGTAAATTATAAATGTGTCCTAATAAGACTGCATAAACTATTCCGCGTTCACTAGCACAGATAACACCCTACATAGTACAATCAACAGGCAGGTGACTGGTTCTACTTACATGCCCTGGTAGTAGTATTTCACTTTAAAGTCTGTGATGGCAACATTCCTTGAAAATCAGAAGCACTAACATGTAATCTAGGAGCGCTGGTGGCACAGTGCCTAAGGCATCTGACTGCTAACCAGAAGGCTGGTGGTTCAAACCCACCAGGCACTCCTCAGAAGGCAGATGGGGCAATCTACTTCCATAGTGATACTGCCTCAGAAACCCAAGGAGGGGGCGCTAGGAGTCGGATCCGACTCTGCGCAGCGAGTGTTTTAAATACACAATTATTCATCGGCCCTTCCCTCTTCCCCCTCGGTCTCCGTCTGCAAGCTCCGCTGCAGCCTGTCCGCCATGGGTGACCCTGCTGGTACTTGACATACTGGTGACACAGCCTCCAGCCTCACAGCAACACGCAAGTCACCAGGGTGTGACACGGCAGGCGGGGGACCAGGCAGTGTTCCCTTCCGTTGTACCTAGGACCGCTGTAGGCTGGGGCCGACTTCATGGCGCCTAACACCACGTGACCTACTAGGAAAACAGTAGCAACGCTTCAGGAATGTTCCAGTGACAGAGGGCTGTTCTCCGATGCTGCTGGCCGTAACCTACTAGGAAAACAGTAGCAACGCTTCAGGAATGTTCCAGTGACAGAGGGCTGTTCTCCGATGCTGCTGGCCGTAACCTACTAGGAAAACAGTAGCAAAGCTTCAGGAATGTTCCAGTGACACAGGGCTGTTCTCCGATGCTGCTGGCCGTGTCTGGTGACAGTGTACTATTGACACTGGAGCACGCGTAGGAGCGGCTGCCATCTCAGCGCTACCTAACACCCGTCACAGGCCTGTTTCTCCTGGAAGAACCATCATCCTTCAGGCCTGTGAGAGCAGCCCTGAGCGCCCTTCGCTGCGCCACCAGCAGGGACACGAGGCTGAAACAATGGGACAGGGGCCCCCACGGTGCCGAGGGAGGGTGGGGTTGGGCCTCTGCGGGAATCCCTGCCTGGGGCCACCACCAGCATCCCCGGGAGACCATCTAACTGGTCCTCACAGTGAGGACAATGGCACCCTGGCGACGCCTCAGAGGCTCTCCGTGGGTTCGGGCGTGGGAAAGGTGCTGCCTGGGGGTGGTGCTTGCTTCCATCATCAGGAGGAATAACCCTTCACTGGGGACAGATCGGCCAAGCAGAGCACGAGGCCAGAAACAGGGTGACTCAAGCCATCGCCAGCCGAAATCACATGAACGAACGGTCCCTCTTGCGAAGGATTTCTTACTTCCCAATGTTCTGACATTCTCTCAACTGTTCGCGTAAGGCAGAGTACCCACTGCCGCCAAGTCAGATCCAACTCCTAGCGACCCCTCCTTGGGTTTCTGAGGCAGTATCATTATGGAAGTTGATTGCCCAACTTTCCTTCTGGGGAGTGGCTGGTGGTTTGAACTGCCGGCCTTCTGGTCAGCAGTCAAGTGCCTTAGGCACTGCACCACCAGAGGTCCCAAGGCAGAGTAAGTTACCAAAAAAGTTAAGTGACAGGTGCCAGGGTCTCTTAAATCAAACAACTCAGACTCAACTCTTAATGGCACGCAAACGTCAGGTATTCCAACAGGCAGGGTGATCTGAAACCTAGAGAAGGCTGAGTGTTAATACATATGCTGCTACCCACACGAGTTCAGAAAATTCAAACCAACCAGAGAGTCAGAGAAATGGCACTCAAACATAATGAGGCTGAGTAAGGACATAAAAATGAAAAACTAAGCTGAAAGCAGCTTTCTTCCCCAGTAAGGCGAGAGGAGAAGACTTGCAGGACATGTTACAGTTGAAAAGCATCCCCCTAGGCACAGAGTGACAGGGGTTAGGCACGTTCGAAAAGCTGACATTAACAGTTAAAAAAGCACAAACTAGCAAACGCTGACGCTTCAATTCAACAAAATGCTTTAAGGGAAAAGAACCCATGAGGACACAGTACGAGCAGGCCGAGAACCAGAGCATGCTGGACAAGGACCCGGGTTCCTCCGGCCGCCGCACGGGAACCGAGGACCAGCTGAGGAAGCAAAAAAAGCCATGACGATGAATACTATGTTTGTAACACAATTATGAACTTTCACACCCGCCCCCGAGCTCGAGGCGCCGCTGACAGGCGGGCACAAAGCCCAGCGTCGCCCCAGTGCAGGGACAGCCACCGCCAGAAGCCACTCTGTTGGAAGGACTGTCAATCGAGCCGAGCCACGTGACCGGCCATTCAGTGAGCGCCAGTTCTCACCGACAAGTTTCTGGGGGCTCAGAACAGCCTCTTTTCTGCCCTGTTCTCCAAAGAGGACAGACCACGGTCCATTAAGAAACGCCCCACAGGCCCTAAATCTCAGAACACATCAAGCTCTCATGTACCTTTAAGATGCGTCACTATAGGGTTATCCGAGCACAGACAGCAAGCTCCAGCCAACCAGCACGTTCACATACCAGTGTACAGTCCACACTTGAAACACACCACCTTAAGGACAGGATCAGTCAACCACAAAAAGCCAACAGCGGTTCACACGAGAACAGGCGGAAGAACATTGAGAACGGACATTGACTTACAAGCATCAGAACTGTCGCCAGCAGCCGTGTCGTTTCAAACATTTTCTTCAGTTGCTTCATGGGCCCCATTAAAAAGCACGTACTGTTTGAAAGAGAGAAGAGACATGAGATCTGGGTGGGCCACTGTCTGGCTGTGTAAACTGCTTAAAAAAGAACAGTGTATTAGTTTATCTACCCCCCCCTTCCTCTGTGTCCAAGGGAAAGAGTCACATGCAAGCGGCCGGTGACACACGACTGCCCGTTTACAGATCCGGGACGGCGTTCCCGCACAGCTCCTGGTGGGTGCTGGCTAAGCCCATCCCGAGACCATGCGGGTTCTTTACCGCGAGCACCCACTCAGCCCCTAACTCTCCCTCTCTACACACATTCCGCTCCAGACCAGAGACCACCTCCACGCACAAGTGCTGTGAAGGTGCTCACCACAGGATTCCTGAACCAGCCGCTCTGTACCCAGTCACCTGCCAGTACAACAGACAAGCGAGTCCATCACTGCAGGTGTAAGCACGGGGCCGTGGGCCAGCTCAGCCTTGGGTCAGGCCACATCCGCTGACAGTATCTCTGGGTCGGCAAGGACTCCTGAAGAAGCCAAAGGTCGTGTGCACAGAGCACAGCTCCTCAGCCTGTCACCATCACAGCAGACGTGAGTGCTTAGCCCAAAGTGCAACCAAGAGGCTCGGGGGCATCCCCAGAGGCGCCACTTGGTCACCACGCCAGCAGCCTGCTTACTCTCACATCAGCCTGCTTCTGCCAGCTGGCCCGTCTCCCCTCACAGACACACAAGCTGTACACACACTGGGAAAGCCCGGGCTCGGGAGCAGGCTGGTGGGCTGGCACCCTGAGCAGCTCACATGCAACACAGTCTCTCCACACTGCCACCTCCAGCGAAAAACCTGGGGTGATGGCAGTAAGCTGGCTCAGACACAGGTCGCCACAGATATGAGACACTTAGAGCCATCCATGTCACATACAAGAGGCCCCATGTGAGCTAGTGTCATCAACGTCCTGCCTAGAACAGCAGCTGGCACACAAGAGACTATTCAGTAAACACTCACTGTGGCTGAATTTATGTTACGTGCGCTCCTAAAACCACCCCCACTGCTGGCAACCTGATTCCAACTCCTAGCAACCCTGCGGGGCAAAGGGGAACTGCCCACAGGGTCTCCAAGGCTGTCAGTCTTCACAGAAGCAAAGCCCAAACCACACCCACTGCCTGGAGTCCATTCCGACCCACAGCGCCCCT